CAGTTGATCCACATGTTGCTAGATTGTTCTCACGGCCATGCCTGATACACCAGCGTCTACCTGCAGCCTGGCTTCCTGTTTTGGTCTCTGTCTGATCCTGTTTCTCCGACCCAGCTTCAGCTCTACTATATGCTCTGATGTCTGGTCTCTGGTTTCTCCATGGCTTCAAGTATCTGTTGGTTTCCTACTCAAAGACTTGGCACCTGAAAACGATTCAACTCAATACTTCCTGGTTTGGCCAGCTCGACTCTCTTGCTGCCCGGTGTCACCATCACTCATTCAATGGGTAAACAACATCCCCTTTACCTACCTATCCTGTGTGGTTCCGCTGTGGAAAGAGTTGGATCTGTCATGTACCTGTTGGCATCTGAAGCTCCTGCTCTGCTCTGACTCATCGACTCTGCTCGATTCCCCTGTTGAGCCCACGGGCTTCCAGGTTCCTCACTCCCAGCCCTGGGTGTCTCCTCCCTCTGTCCTCGGCCACTTAGCTTCATCGCCTACCTACTCCAAGGGTCCTGTGTGAGTACCAGCATTCACTATTCACCTGCACTACTACTGAGAAGAATTACTCACCTGTTGGGCAAAGATACAAACCGTTCATACTCACCTACCTCAAGACCTCTCACCTGCCCATTATCCCCGCAAACTCTCTCCCATTTGCCCATTTGCCCACTTCCCTGCTCCATGCTCCGGCATCCCCAGAAGGCCCTGGACCCCTTCCTCTACCCCAAGCCCCATCTCCTACCCTACTCACCTTACCTCCAGATCCATCAACCTACAAGAACCCTCTGCTGATGAAAATTCCCCTTTTCTTCAATACCCACCTGTATGCAATAATCTGCTGGTTCATAAAGGTCATTAAAAACTATATCCAGTTGTGTGCTACATTTCGGTCTATACCATACCCGTTTCAAAGATTGTATACAAACAGTAACCCGTTAGCTGACGAGGACTCTTTCTGCCCTTGATTGAAATTTTGTCTGATGGATTGATCAGTGTCGTCCTGACATTTTCACTTTACATCTCTAGAAGTTTCCATCTACAAACTGGCTTGGCACATCTGATCTCTGATTACAATGAGAAAACAAGCTTTGATATCTCAACTACACCACTGGTTGGTTTTTTTTTTTTTTTTTTAAATGAGTAACCTAAAGAACTGTCGGTACTGTACTGGCCCACTTAAAGCACTGGATATTGTATGTAACAATTTTATGTATGGTTGTTCAGGTTGAGGGGCTGTTGTGGCACCCTTGTCGCCTCTACTCCCAGGAAGCTGAGGGAGATTTGTTCCGTCACCTCTTCTGCCACCATTTTCTATTTTAATGACTGAGCAGCACCAGCTTTCAGATGTTTATAATATTGTTTAGTGTAATTTGCCTGTTGATCTGTTTCATGGCTGAAGGTTTAGACTGGATTCACTTACAGCTTTCAACCAACAGCAATACTTTTTAAAAAAAAAAAAAAAAAAAAAATTCATTTCCTAAGAAAGGTGCAGGGAAAGAGCAGCCTGAGCCAAATCTGATTTCATCACCCCGGCTTCCAGCAGCTCACTGTTGGAACATCAGGAGTCAGGTGTGGAGCTGTCTGGAACTGACGGCTGGAAAGCTGCACAGTTCTTCTTAAAGACTTGCAGCTTTATCTGAACCTGCCCTGAGCTGTTTTAGTGATGAAACAGCTGGTACAGTTCACTTGATGTACAGTTTGCTGTCAGGATCTTTGGTAGTGTTTGGTCATGTCAGAGGAGGAAAATGAACTCGGAGAATTAATGTATTGTTTGACTTGTCTGTTGACAAGTGGCTCCATAGCTAAGAGGAATAAGATACTTCAGGCTGTAGAAATACACACAATACTTGATAGGAGACAAACCAGAAACATTAATTTTGGGTTTGGTCCTTTTCAATGGATTAATTAACAACAAGAATGAAACAGAATATTGTTTTCTTGTTGCTCTGCACTGTAAAAGTCACATCTGTTGACATGATGACATATTTTTTTTTTTTTTTTTTTTTTTTTCCCCCCACTCCGTTGTTCTCTCAACCAGGATAACAGGAGATCCTTTTATCTGTTTTACATGAGCAAATGTTTTCCCCAGAAATACAACTGTGACAGTAAGAAATTTCCCAGAAAAAATCAGATAATGTGTTTGTCAGGAAGTGAAGAGATTGCACAGATTGTGTTAAATTATGAATGCTCTTGAGAATATTTTCTGTTCTTTTGCAGTTGATTTTGTGGTTGGAGTTACAGACCTGCATTAGATATGAACTGTCTGTTGGTGTAAAACATGGCTGTAAACACTGAATGTAAATTCCATTCAGTTGACTTCTGGAGAAATTATAACTTATTTTAATGGTCTAATAATTAGGCTAATTTTGGTTTTACTGTCTGTGGTCTGTGTTTTTCCACCAGGTGTCATTTATGACAAAGTGAAAAGTCCACTCAACTCATTCAGACACTGAAACTGGAAATGACAAACAAACCAGAAAACTGAGTCAGACATTTGCATTCAAATCTAACTTTTAAAGTAGATTATCAGTTGTCAGATTTGCAGACCTACTCTGGTATAATTGCTTGGTCACCAAATATGGCACAAATACTGTATATGGATCTAGTTTTGGCCAGTGTTGTAGGTTGCAGAGTAGACTGAGGAAATATTAAATGAATTTGGTCACTTAACATTTTAATGATATGGGTATGTTGACTATCTGGATGAAAACTTGATGTCCTGTCTGTCTGTCCCATTCTCGAAGATGTGACATCTCAGTAACGCCTTGAGGTAAATTCATTACATTTGGCACAAATGTCCACAATTTAACACAAATCAAAGAATAGATAGAAACTGATGCATGGTGCAGCTGACTCTGAGCTTCAAAACTGCTCTTTAGAAAGGGTGATGTCATATATATATAAAATGTATAAAATATATATATATTATATATATATATAAAATGATTATGTGATGACATTTTAAATCCAAAAAGTCAAAGGCCAACTTCCCTGTGACATCATAATGTTCTGCAAAAATACTTCTGTCCATTGTTCAGTGCTATAACACAGGAACAGAAGGAGAGATTGTGACCGGTTGGCAGAGGCATACAACCACGTGGTGGTAAATCTAGTCTTTTCTGTTTTTCAGCAACAGGTTGTATCTCACAGGTGTGATCCCACACGTCTTCTGTCTGCTTGAAAAGTTAAAATATTTCCCCTGGGGCAAATCATCTTAAAAATGAATTTACAAAACAAATGTGGAAATATTGGGTTTAAATGCTGGTTTGACATCTGTTAGTTCTGACTTTACACTTAATCTTATGATCAAGCTTCTGCTGAGCTCATGCAGCAGGCTGCAGACTAACAGTTTTATAACACCCTTGCTGGCATACAAGGCATTGCCTGGTGCACTTTTACAGAGTGTGTTCAGACTGCTACACTTCTTTCACATTTGCTTATGTTGCAGTTTCCAGTCTTCCTGGGTCTGATGCTACAAGCTTTGCAATCTGGATTTGGGGTTTTTCCTGCTGTTCTTCTCTCCGAGAAGAGTGAGAGAGTTCTTCTCAAGTTCTTTTCAAGCAGACAGAAGACGTGTGGGATCACACCTGTGAGATACAACCAGTTGCTGAAAAACAGAAAAGACTAGATTTACCACCATGTGGTTGTATGCCTCTGCCAACCGGTCATATGGGGACGTCGGTGGACAGACATTTTCAGGTCTCTCCAGAGATGTTGGATTGGGTTCAATCAGGATTCTGGCTGGACTTGACTGTGTGCTCAGGGTCATTGGGCTTCATTCACCAATATCTTAAGCAATTTTCTGAAATTCTTTGTTGTTCTTAAGAAAGTTCTTAGAGAAAACTACGTCAGATTCAAGAACGTGTTCTTAAACCGCAGAATTGTGCTCACCTGTGTTCTTAGATTGATGAATGCCAATCTCCTTGTAAATTGAAAGCGTGTGCCAGTTGGCCTGAATTAGCATAGGTAAATGCCCGAAAATGCCTTTAAAAGGGCATGAGACTGAAGGGTCATGTGCACAACAAAGTCACAAAGAGATACCAAAGTTGAGAAAATGCCTAAACGAAAATGTAAAGATGGAGAAGCGGAATCAAAGCGCAAAAGGAATTTCAGCAGTTGTGGAGGTACTGCTGCAGAAAGTGAGCCACAAAAAAGCGGTAACATTTAGTAGTGTTACCTCTGGATATAAAATTACACACAAAAATGATGCATGGGATGCAATCACACATTCAGTGAATGCAGTATCTGGAGAAGCGCGCACTACAGATGAGGTTAAAAAGAAGTGGTTTAATATAAAATCTGACAGCAAAAAAAACTCCCATTCAGATGGGAGATGCAGAGCACTGGAGGGGGGACAGCGGGCAAAGAATTCTCTGAGCTGGACCAGCACATTGGGGCCATCATCGGAACGTCTGGACACAGACCTGGGCCCCGAGTCAGAACCTTCATCTCCTCCTAGTCCATCTTATATCTATCTATATCTATATCCATATCTATCAATCTATTTTTTCTGGAATAATATAATTTATAACGAGTGTGTCCTAAAGGCAGGTCTAAAACATCGTCTTTAGAAAGATAAACCTACGTGCTTGTATTCGATATTTGCACAATTGGGCCTATTTAACACATACAAATAAAGGTCACTACAAAGGTTTAATTTACCTGGAACCTGGAACCTGCAGCAGTACCTTCATGCGTGCTCCCAGGTTCCGTTCTACCCGTCTGATCTCAGAAGCAGTTCTTGACAACCAAGAAAGAATTGTCGAAACGTTGACACAGATTGCCTCAACACTTGCCACAATCTCAGATACACTTAAAGAAATTAATAAAAAAAAAAAAAAAAGATAAAGATGTGCACTGAAATCAGTTTGTTCTATTTTTTTAGTGATACGTTTCTTTCTTGATTAATTGTAAGCTATAAATAATCACACTTTAAAAGTCAAATTAATTTTAAAGCAGCTTTATTCACAACCGAGCAATTAATTGCTCTCGAACTTGGACAGCGAACCTGTTGTCTGGTCTCAGGAGCACCTCAGGACGCACATCCTCATTGTTGTGGCTGAGGGGGAAGTTGTACCCCACACTTCATTGCAATGTTGTGCAATACACAGCAGGCCATGGTTATCCTACAAACCTACAATGATGAAAGGAGAGGCAAATTATAAAATACAAAATTATGATAAAATTGGCCTGAGTTAGTCAGTTCTCTCTATAGTTTTTGCAAGAATAAAACAAATAGTCATCTGTTCTCCATATATACACACCTTTTCCGGTTTGTAAAGCATCTTGTAACCTGCTGTGTCCAAACACATCCAGCGTCCCTTTAAGAATCCAATTGTATGCTTGACGGTGGAGCAAGTGCGTGCATGCTTCTGATTGAATGAAACCTCCTGGCGAGTCTGAGGGTTAGTTAGTAGGATTATTAACCAGGGGGCCAGTGCATATCCTCGATCTCCTAAAAAAACAAGTCATTATTGGAATAGAAGGCCACTGTTGTAGAAAATTATAATTATTCAAAGATACGTATCAATGAGCTATGCGTCACCAGCAGCTTCTTGTTCGAGGCGCATGCCCACAGAGCTGTTCTGTAGGCTGAGGGAGTCGTGTGCTCCTCCTGGAAAGTGGGAATCCACATACAGTAGGTGGTTCTGGGAGTCGCAAATGAGTTGGACATTTATGGAGTGATATTGCTTGCAGTTGAGGTATTTGAATAGATCTGGAGAGGGTGCCTTAATGCGCACGTGCGTGCAGTCTATTGCTCTGATGGTGTTAGGTAGACCAGCAATACAGTGAAATCCCCTCTTGACTGGGACTTGTTCTTCAGCTGTATATGGGAATTTTAAGTATTGTGTAGCTAGTAGATTTATTCCGTTCACGACTCGTGGGAGAGCACGGCTGATGGACAGCTGTGATATGCCCACCCTGTCTCCCAGCTCCTGTGTTCCAGTGGCTAAAAAGCCCAATGTGGAGTGTACCTACACATGTGGTGGTACAGAGTTAAACCTTCTTGTATGGCTCCGCAGTGCTGGCTCCAAATGATTACAAGGTCCAAGAGGACAGCTCTTGTTAGCCTAAAGCGTCCCAATAAATACTCATCACTCTCTGCAAATAAATCAATATTGTCATGGAAAATTCATTCCCTCTGTAGAGCACAATCTGCGATATCTTACAGCAGCAGTAAATATGCCATTGTGTGATCAGGCCTTGGGTGCAGAAGGCCTACTTTTGGCCTATAAATAAGATGACTATCACTGACTATTGGATGACATGGTTCCCAATTAACATAATTGATGTGAATTTAAGTTTTAGTGTAGTGTTTATTTTAAAAGACCATAACTCTTTGTAAAATAACAAAAGTTATTTTGAAAAAAATTATAAATGAGAAAACTATTATTGTAATTTAAATAATATATAACTGTAGAACAAAAGAAAACGCAATAACCACTTATTTTGCTCAAACATGTCAGCACTCAAATGTGCATAAGAATACTCTTGAGTGTGCGTAGATAAAGTTCTTACCTGAGAACAAATCCCAAACAAGAAAACATTGGTGAATGTCAGAATCAAAAAAAAAGTAAAAAGTGCGTAAGTGGGTTTTAAGAAGAAATTTCTTCTTAAGAATGGTTGGTGAATAAGGCCTATTGTCCTGTTGGAAGGTGAACCTTTGGCCCAGTTTGAGGTCCTGAGCTCTGGATCACGTCTCTGTACTTCGCCCCGTTCCGCTCTCCCTGACCTTTCTTCATGTCCCCCCCGAGCCTGATGCTGCCTTCACCATGCTTCACTGTTGGGATGGTGTTTGCAGGTGATGAGTGGTGCCTGGTTACCCACAGACATGACGCTTATAAGTGAGACCAAACAGTTCAAACTTGGTTTCATCAGAACAGAGAATCTGGTTCCTCACAGTCTCAGAGTGCTTTTTTACAAACTGTCACTGAGGTCAGGCTTCGTCTGGACACCCAGATCAGTGGAAAGCTGCAGTCATGGTTTCTCTATCCAGAGTCACCATCAGGTTCTTTGTCTCCTCTCTGACCAAGACCCTTCTCCCCTGATTGCTCAGTTAGTGCGGGTCAAGCTCTAGAAGAGTCCTGGTTGTTCCAGATTTCTTCCTTTAAGAATGATGGAGGCCACTGTGCTCTGAACCTTCAATGCAGCGGAAATGTTTTGGTAGCCTCGACACAATCCTGTCTCTGAAATCTGAAGTTGTTCCTTCCTCCTCATCAAGGTGTAGAAACATCTCAAAGATCATCAAGATCAACCTCAGCTAAAATTTGGGTGGGAATACTATAATAATAATGATAATTATTTAAGGCTGCAACATGACAAAATGTGAAATAAGTGAAGAAGTCTGAGCACTTTCTGAAATCAGTTGAGCCCTCTCATGTATACTTTCCTTCCTACTGAAAAGAATTATGACACCCACCACCCCAGCCCCCTCCTCTCGCTGTATCAGTGACCTCTGACTTTACATCCTGTTGTGTTAGATTATTATGAAACAATATAACTGGGTCTTTTGGAGTGTGCCAGGAAGGATGAAGACGGAGGGTGAAGAACAGCAAATGCAGACACTTAGACACTTCACCCCCCCCCCCCCCCCCCCCCCCCACACACACACACACACACACACACACAACACACCTCCTGTCTCTCCCTCTCTCTAACCCTTATTGTCATGCAATTCTTTTTAAACAGTCCTCCCTCCTTTTGTTTCCCAGCTCAGTTTGGCAAGATTATAAAAGACATGTGATAACATCTGTTGTGTGGGTGCAAAGACTTGTTAACAATTGATAATAATGATGATAAAACTATGTCTGACCACTGGCAAGTTTGGCATAGAAATGCAGTGGAACTCAGTTAAAGGTCAATGTGGGACTAAAAATGGGAAAGAGTGATGAGATTAGTTTAATTTAAAGCTCCATATTTTCCTCTTCTCCAGTGTTTTATTTGAAGTGTAAGTAACTGGTAAAGGAAGGACAAGTGATGAGTCACCAGTCTTTAATTTAGACATGTCGCACCAACACTGCAGGTAACACTGACAGGACAGTTTAACAGTTAATGTGACTGTCACTGCAGTGTGGCAGCTATGTGAGTGTGACCGGAGCAGCAGGGTTGAGATGAGGGCAGAGATACTGTAGCTGAGGATGTTTTGACTTCTGTTTAATGCATGTATTCTTCCTGTTATGTCTGTCCACACACAGTATTTAGTCTTTCACAGAGGTCTAATGTACAGATGATTGAAGTGAATGACAAGACGATCCTGAGTTCTGACTGCTGTGGAGCAAAACATATTTTACTGTCACTCAGTAAAAGAAATATTCTGCTCTCTGATCAAGAACAGCTTCCTTAATGTGTTAATGAACAGTGCTGTCCACCTTACTGTATTTGCATTAGGTAAGAGAATTAACTGTAAATGTTACCATGTGGGCTGGAATGATGAGAAATAAGGTGGGATAATTACACCTATGACAATATGGCTGTGTGACTGTGGCTGTTAGAAAATGACACAAAAACATAAAACATAACAATATATACTATGGCCCTACAAAAATGACACCTTAGGATTTGTGTTGTGACGATAGACATGTGTCAGCAAATGAACAGGCTTCACTCCACAGTCTGCCGGAAATTATGTAATTTAGCTGCTACTGATAACAGCTGAGAGAGAGCGATTAATGATTAATGATTTAAAAGAGAGAGAGAGAGAGAGAGAGAGAGAGAGAACCTTCTGCAGAAAAACAAAACAAAAGTGAAACTTAACTGAAAATTGTGTAATATGTGTCAATGATTTATTCTTAAAACACAAACAAATGAATTTTGTTTAATGAGTGCATTTGGTTATTACTGAACAGTAGATGTTTCTTAATATGAAGTATCTTTAACTACTTTTATTTACATCTATTGCTTAACTACTTCAAATGAGTCACTTGGATCTTCACTAGCAATAGTTTGTGTGTACCTTTATATAGATTAACTGGAGACTGGAGATATACACAAGTGAGTAATAGGATGTTGAAATATAAAGAATTAAAAAAAAAAACTTTTACATGAAATACTGCTCAATGCATCATGGTCAATATAAGACTTTGCTCCTGGTATTTTGGAGACTTGAGGTACAGGATGTGTGAGAGTGAGTGTTATATAAATGTCAGTGCAAGTGTTTTATAGCGGTACAGGGGGAGGTGATGATTGGACATGGTCATGCTGCTTAGCACCGCAGTTTCCTCTACAGGAAGACTGAAGTAATGTGACTCACCTGTTCACCTGTCCATCAAACCAGCAGCAGCTCGTAAAACCACACTGAGATGAGGACAGTAGCAACAGTAACATCAGGAATAAGAATCTGATCCTCTGCTGCTCGCTGCTTACAGCCACAGGAGGGTCAGAGGTCAGAGGTCAATCATGTTGTGTTCATGCAAGTAGATGTCACCAGGGTCGACTCTAGCCATTTTGGTATCCTATATCCTATATATCTTGGTACAAACGTTCACTTGGACTAAATTGAAGACTTAATCAGTATTTTAGCAACAGTAGAGCAACAGCTTGGAAGTGACTGCTAGTTAACATGTAGTCTTAATGGGCCACATTTCACTCACCGTTTCAAACTTCCATTGTTCCATTGTTGTGACAACAGAAACAGAAAAACATGTGAAGGAAAAACAGCTTTATTATGAATTCAGCTGTATTAAAATACTGTGTATGTGAACACAGAGAGTGATGTTCTATTTGATCAGCTGTGGATAAACAACATGCTAAAATTCTCACTGTCGCTACAATCAGTCTGGACATGTGTGTTTCTCTCTTTTCTCTCTGAAAAAGGCCTGAAGTATAAACAGAGGGGTGACGAAGCATTGACCAACTGACAGAGGAAGTACTCTATTCACACACATTTACATTTTCCAATCATGGCAGTTCCAGGAATGGGCTGACCAATCAGGAGATGGTAAACACACAGAGGGAAACTGTAAACATAGCAACAGAAAGTGGAGGAAATGAGGAGAGACTCTTAATGAGCTGACAAAATACACAGTATAAGTATTTTTCCATTTCTTTCCCCTCTCCTGGAAAGAAGATGACACTAGACTGAATATAAATATGAATGTCATGATGTCAATTGTTTACAGTGGCTCCACAACAGTTTTCAACTACATCCTCAATTTCGAAACACTGACCATGTGGTCCAGACAGAGATTAGGTTCTCCTCCCAATGTTCACTCAGACATGCAGATCTTCATGTGTTTTCTGTGCTGTGTAACCTACAGCTGATGTCAGCCAGTTCATATATATGTGCTCTTGCTTGTTTTGTTTCTATAAAAAGCTGTTCCATGGAAGACATCCATTTCCTGTCATTTCACATCCCCTTCCTCTCCCCACAGCATCAAAGCTATGGAGTCATAGGAGTGCCATAAAAAAGAATAAATCTGTAAAAGAAGAAGAAAATAAATGTAAAAATATAAAGCAAAATATATAAAAGAATTTTAAAAAATGCCTTTCCGCTGTTGATTTTTCTTTCCTTTTGCTTTTGCTATTCCTTGGAGGGCCAAGTGGTCAATCAACTAGTGAAGGGCAAGTTTACCTTTTTCCCTTTCTGTTATGACTATAGTACATGTGGCGCTGTCTCTACATTCTAAAATGATTAAAGATGATTTTTTTTTATCTATGTACTTCTCAAAAAAATGAAGGGAGCACTTAATCATCATTCATAATCACAGTATAACACCAAGTCAGTTAAACTTCAGGGATATCAATCTGTCCATTCAGGAAGCAACAAGTGATTGTGAATCAATTTCACCTGCTTTGGTGCAAATGAAAGTGACAACAGATGCAATGGAGAGGCAAAAGCAAGACAACCCCAAAAAAGGGAATTGTTTTACATGTGGTGGCCACAGACAATTGCTCGCTCCTGATCCTTCCTGACTGATTCTTCTCTAGTTTTGTGTTTTACTAGAGTCCTTGTCACTACTGGTAACATGAGGCGGTACCTGCAGCCCAATCAGGTTGCACAGGTAGTCCAGCTCCTCCAGGATGGCACATCCATACGTGCAGTCGCAAGAGGGTTTGCTGTGTCTCCCAGCGCAGTCACAAGAGCACTGAGGAGATACCAGGAGACCGGCTGTTACACGAGGAGAGCTGGACAGGGCTGAAGAAGGGCATCAACCTAGCAGCAGGACCGGTACCTGCTCCTTTGTGTGAGGAGGAAAACGAGGAGCACTGCCAGAGCCCTACAACATGACCTCCAGTAGGCTACTGGTGTGCATGTTTCTGACCAAACTGTCAGAAACAGACTCCACGAGGGTGGCATGAGGGCCCCACGTCCTCTAGTGGGACCTGTGCTCACAGCCCAGCACCTTGCAGCTGCAGCATTCACCAGAGAACACCATTGGCAGATCCGCCATTGCCGCCCTGTTCTCTTCACAGATGAGAGCAGGTTCAAACTGAGCATGTGTGAACATGTGACAGGCGTGAAAGAGTCTGGAGATGCCGTGGTGAATGTTATGCTGCCTGTAACATCATCCAGCGTGACCGGTTTGGTGGGGGGTCAGTGATAGTCTGGCATATCCTTG